TTTCTGAGATACTAGCAAGAGGTTGTCCAACCCCAGCCTTGACTCTTACTCTATAGTATGCTTTCCTGACATTGAGTCTAAATTTTAACATCTTTTTCATTCTGGATAGGCTGAGAATTTCAGAAATCATTAAATCTTGGTCCCTTTTTACTGAACAATTCTTGCCTGAAATTTCTTTTTCTCCTCACATTTTACATAGCTGCAAGAAGGTACCAGGACACACTTTCAAGACTTTCCTTGGAAATCTCAGATAAATGTCCACCTTCATTATTTACAGGTTGTATTTTCCACATAACTATAGCACATCATTCTGCTAAGTTTAATCTCCCATGATTGCCTTTCCCCAAGTTTTCTAATAACATGTTCCTTCTCAGCATTCACCAGCAACACCTTCAGCATCCATATTTCTACTAGCAGTCTGTTCACAATGATTTTGGTATTCTCTAAGGAAATTTGCATTTTTTTTTTTTTACCATGCTCCTCACTTTCTCTGAGCTCTCATCAGTGAAGTTAACATATTTCTAACATCCATATTTAAGGCAATCTAAGCTATTATTTATAGAGGCTTTATTTATTTATTTGTTTGTTTGTTTTGTTTATACATGCACTGGGTACAGTCAGAAGCGCAGGAGGGTGAGAGAATTCACCAGAGCCAGAGCGGGGAACAGAATAGGCAGACTGACAAAGTACACTGTTGAGGGGAGCAGCGGGCGGCAGGAGAGGTCTGTGCACCATGTGGGACCCTTCTCCGGTGGCCGGGGAGCAGCCGGGGATCGAACCGGCGCCGCAGAGGTCGCGGGCAGCTTTGCAACCCAGCGCTCAACCGCTGTGCCACTGGGGAGACCCAATCTAAGCTATTTTTGTCATGATCCTCAAAGTTTTTCAGCCTCTGCCCTCTGCCCATTTCTAAAGACATTTTTTCAGTGTTTGTTATAGTAGGAACTCACTTTCAGGTGCCAAAATCTCCTGTATTCCTTTTTATTGCATCTGGGTTTTCAGTGGTTGTGATAAAAAGCAGGTAATACATGAAAATCTGTGTTGAAAAAGTGAGAAATGCTGTGTCCTGTTTGATTCCAAAGTTTGAAAAGCTATACAGTACCCAACAGGCATATACATCCCAATATTAAGTAATTATGGTTATTTAAGAAAGGAACTCTTTCAATTTTTATGTATTTTTTTTCAAACATATACTAAATTTAATACAGAAATACATTTTAAGTTGTTTGGATCACATATATGTAGCTGCTTGGACCTAACTAATAAATGGAACCTATTTCTTTTACCTAAGGGTGCCGCATAAAAGTTGAGACACAGAGGGTGTCATGAACCAAAAAGGTTTGAGAACTTCTGTCTTAGAAGGAGGTGACAGGGCCTCCCCGGTGGCACAGAGGTTGAGCGCTGGGCTGCAAAGCTGCCCGCAGCCTCTGCAGCACCAGTTCAATCCCCAGCCGCATGCGAGGGTCCCACATGGCGCGCAGACCTCTCCTGCCGCGCCAGCTGCTCCCCTCAGCAGTGTACTTCATCAGTCTGCCTGTTCTGCTCCCCGCTCCTGCTCTGGTGAATACTCTCACCCTCTCACGCTTCTGACTGTACCCAGTGCTTGTATAAATAAATAAATAAATCTTTAAAAAAAAAAAAAGGAGGAGATGACAGTGGGTTGTGTAGTAGTGCAGTGATAATTCATTATGCATCTTTCAATAGGAGAGCGATTTGAGACAATTTTAAGAATATAGTACATTATACATTTAGACTGCTTAATATGGATTATGTCAGTTGGTAAATCTAGAAGGAGGTTGTAGGAAGGATTAGAGGCTGTTGGACTAGTGTAGGTGACTGAAATAACAGTAGCTGTGAAAAAGGAAGTATATGACAGATACTAAGAAAAATAGATTTAAAATTTTGGTGGCATATTGACACTAAGATAAGGGAGAAGGAAGAATCAGAGATCAAAATCTCACATTTGGTGGACTCAGATATTGCTAGGATCATTGATAGAATAATGAGATTGGGGAAAAGATCTGTTTAGTTGAGTGGCAATGATAGAAACTATATTGTAGGGCATTCAGAAGGATGGAGAGGAGGGATTGGGTATAGACCACATATACAAGGATTGGGCAAGTTTAAAGAAGAAGATTAATAATAGAACAATGGAGCCAAGACAGACTTTTTGCCAGGAAAAAAAATGGGGTTTCAAATTACATGAGAGCAACATCTTGATTTGGGTAATGGTGATGTGATTATACATTTGTCAAATTGATAAAAATACACATTTTAAAAGATGGATTTTAAAATTTGTAAACTTTACTTCAGTAAATTTTACATGAACATGAGAACAGGTTTTTTTTTTTTGAGAAATACAGTTTGCATCACATGAAAGTCACTATTTTTAATTGTACAATTCACTGGTTTTTAATATGTTTAGAAAGTTGTACCAATATCACCACTATCTAACTCCAAAACTTTTTTGCCACCCCAAAAAGAAACCCCTTGTCCATTATGTTACTCTTCTCCCTCCTCTCTCCAACTCCTGGTAACCAGATATCTACTTCGTTTTTTCAGTGTTTTTTAATTGTGGAAAATACACATAAAATTTACCATCTTAACCATTTTTAAGTTTACAGTTAGTAGTATTAAGTGCATTATAGTATTAAGTACAGTATATTATTATGCAACTATCACTGCCATTCATCTCCAGAATACTTTTCTTCTTGCAAAACTAAAACTCTGCACCAATTAAACACTAATTCCCCACCTCTCTAGCCCCCGGCAACTACCTTTCTACTTACTGTGTCTATGATTTTGACTGTGCTAAGTACTTCATATAAGTAAAATCATACAATACTTGTGTTTTGTGACTCTCTTATTTCACTGATCATAAAATAATGTGCTTGGAATTTAATGTTTAGAAAGTTGTACCATATGTCAGAAGTTCCTTTTTTAAGCCTGCATAATATTCCACTGTATTTATACAGTCATGCATCAGTTAAAGCAAAATGTAGTATGCAGTCATGCATGGATTAGCAATGGGAATTATGTTCTGAGAAAGTAAAATTGGGTGACTCCATATACTACAGTGGTCACAATAGATTGTACTGTCAAGATTTGTGTAACTACATACTGTATGACACTTGCACAACAGCAAAATCACCCAATTTTACTTTCTCAGAACATAATTCCCATTGCTAATCCATGCATGACTGCATACTTCATTTTGCTTATCCATTCATCCATCAACAGACACTCAGGTTAGTTAGTTATTGTGACTTATAGTCTGTTTTGTCTATTATTGGTGTAGTAACCCATACTCTGTTTTTGGTTGCTATTTATCCTTTTCCACTGCTTTACTTTCAACCTATCTGTGTCTTTGTATCTGATGTTAGTGTCTTGTAGACAGCATATACTTGGATCATGTTTTTTTCCACCCATCCCACCAATGTCTGTATTTTGATTGGTGAATTTAATCCATTTACATTTAAAGTAATTATTGATAAGGAGGGACTTCTGTTGTACTATTTGTTTTCTATATTTCTTATAGGATTTTTGGCCTTCGTGCCCAGCATTACTGTCATCTTTTGTGTTTAGTTGATTTTCTTTGGTAGTGAAATATTTAAATTCCTTTCTCATTTTCTTTTGTGTATATTTTATGGTTATTTTCTTTGTGGTAGCAGAAATCAATGATCAGAACACAGATCCCCAATATTTGGAAGACATAGTCCTTTTTGCCCACCTTGGCTCATACAATCTGCTCTTGGAATGTGTATATAGATGCCTTGCTATAGGGCTTGTGGTAGGAGACGGAAAGCTACTACTGTGCTAAGAGCTGAAATTTGCAAATTTATCATTCAAGTCTTCCCCTGGAAGTTGCAAGCCTTCAATAGACTCCAGAGATCTAAAATAGTTGTATCAGATAGATTTTGCTCAGTGTAACTGTCATCTTGGTAAGGAGATAGATTTCTGGTGCTTCCTACTCCACCATTTTCCCAGAATCCTGTCTAATCTACTTCTTTTATTAGAACGTGCCTTGGAAGGAAAGATATGAACATAGAAGTAGAAATATTCATATGACATTGTAGAGTGCTCATATACGATTATTTAATTTTCTGTGTGTAGCCAGAATCTAATTTAATATGAATAAGGTAGAAGTAAAGAAGGTAAGAGATATGCAAAAACCTTGGGGAATGATCCAGCAAGTTAAGAGATCTAAAAACTATTAAGCTTGTGTAAATAGCTCTATGTTGTTGTAATCCTGGGCTACAGAATTAAATAGGAATTAGTAATTAGAAAGCTGTCAGTTTTAAAAAGTAAATTCAGATTTTGACTTATACAAATTGCATTCTTTGACACTGGGTCTACTGTTATTCATTTGGAAAGAAGGATAAAGGAGAAAGTGCAAGAGTCAAAACTGGAGTACAGCTTCCACTAACAGCTACATAGCAGAAGGTAGAAGGAAACTTTGTTACCCATTGGTGCTATAACTGCTATGATCTACATGATGTAGAAAAACTATTTTTATGTTCAGATTTGATTGATTTGTAGTGGGTAGGGTGCAGTATTTGACCCTCTGAGTTTGAGCATGGTCCTGAATTGTTTGCCTATTGCCATTTGACAATCAAATAACTCCCCATAATCTTCACAGTATTTGAGTCTGTCCTGGCTCTGCAATTTAGTCCTCTGTCATAGTCCCTAATATCATCCCCTACTCCCTGCACCATTATTCTAAAAACCATGAAATTTTTGGAGAGCATAATACTTTTTTTTGACTCCTGACCATTTTATCTTTTCAACCAAAGTGATCATTCAGTATTTTGACTTTGTCATTTTGATATGCAATTTTCAAAGGCAGTAGATTCTTATTCTAGTTTCTGAAACTGTACATGTTCAAATCTATGTTGAATATTCTAAATTATTGCCTTTCCGTTAAATGGGAGTGTCTCAAAGATCAGATAATTGTTCAGAAAATGCTAAACATTGATACACTTCTTGTTTTTTTTTTTTTCCAGGTTGACAATAAATGCCCTTGCCCAGAAGCTCAATGCTTATTGGAAGGAAAAGACCTCCCAAGAGAATTTTGAGAACTCTGCTATAGCCAGGCCAATACCGTGAGTAGTAGATGTAGAAACTGGAAGTGTTAGGGCTAATGTTCATAGAGCAAATGGAAGGAACAAGGATAAGATGGTGTTTTTCACATAAAGTCTAATTAACTAAGAATAGGAAATCATAGATATCACTTCCATCCTCTCAACCTCTTCATTCTGCTCTAACACTTGTATGGTTTGGATCATAAATATGAAAAGTTTAGTACTGTCAGTTTATACTGTAGGCAGTGAGATATAGTAGAAGATGGTGGCCATTTAAATCAGACACTCCTGGGTTGAAAATCTGGATCTGCTTCTTAATAGTTGAGTGAACTTGGGTAAATCACTTCACTTCTCTGAGCATAGTAAACTAGATGAGATAACATTTTTAACGTAATGCCTGGCATATGATAAGTAAGAAATGTTAGAAAACTTCCTTTCTCTATTCCTAGTGAACATTATTGGAACTATACTGAGGAATTTGAGAGTAGAAATAGAGATCTTAGCATATCAGAAAAAATGTAGAATTTATCGAACCTAAGTCAGGGAAATAAAGAAATGTGGATCTGGATGAAATGCCTGGGTGGGCCAGGAATTCTCCAAAGGACAGAATGAGTAAGAACACACATATACCACCTTCAAAACAAAGATTACAATGTTAAATTCCTTTTGGGGTAGGCACCTGTTTTTTTGTTAGTGGAAATCATCAGACAAATTTATGATATAAGATTTTGTTTGAAAGGCAACCTGATTGCTGAATGAATATCATAATTGTCTTATTCTAGACTTCTTATGTTCAGCCTCCATGGTTTTCAAAGAAATGCAAATTAAGATGAGGTGCCATTTTTTGCCTGTCAAATAAGGCATGATTAATGAAGTGAAGCAGATTTTCATATATGCTGGAATGTGTGTTTATGCGTTAAACAACCTTTCTGTAGGCGGGATTGCAATAATGGTTATTTGTTGAGTACTTATATGGTAGGCACTGGTCTCAGTTCTTTATATGTATTCACGCTTATTTTCACAACAACTCTAAGAGAAAGATATTATTACTTCTTTAATGATGTCGGGACTTATACAGCAAGAGTTTAAGTAACTTGCTTAAGACAAGTAAAAAGTGGTAGATCCAAAGGTTCAAATATATGCAGGCAAGCCCCCAAACCCTATTACTTCTGGAAAGATCCAGTGAGGAGAATATGGCATATTACCTTAACTACCTATTTATGGCGAGCACAAACTAAAAGCCTCTCCTGTCTGCCTGAATAGAAGGGTCTACTGTGGTCTGCATGTAACTTGAGGCAGGGAGTTGCTATCTCTAAGTGTACTTGTCCCCAAGAGAGTAATAAATATTAGCATGCTTCTATGAGAGATTTTTCTGTGTACGTACATAGGAAAACAAAAATAATGTGACATTTCCTCTCCTCCCACTACTACCTTTACTGCTTTTTTTCTGGCTCTGACTCTAAATAAAACAATAGCTGTATGAGCCCAAATGCCCAAAAATAGATGACTGGATCAAGAAGATGTGGTACATATATACCATGGAATATTACTCAGCATTCAGAAAAGATAAACACATGCAATTTGCAGCAACATGGATGGCGCTGGAAGGGATCATGCTCAGCGAAATAAGCCAGAAAGAAAAAGAAAAATACCGGATGGTCTCACTCATAGCAGGAATCTAGAGAACTTAAATAAGGGACCAGGAAAATGAATAACTATAAGAAAGTGAAAATCAAAATCAACAAAAAACTATGAACCAGGGACAGTTTTTGGGGAGTGGGGGGTGGGAGGGGAGGGATTGGGGTCAGAATGGGGGGATTGCAAATGTATGGGGAATATAAAAATAAAATTTATTATTAAAAAAAAAAAAAAACAATAGCTGTATGGACATACATAGACACCAGAGGTCAGGCCTGAGCTTAGCATTTAGAGATTGCAAGGTTGGAGCGACCTGGAGGCAGGAGACAGAAAAAATGTGTGCAAATTCTCTCTGTTTAAAAAGAATTCCCGGCCAGCCAGGGAGATCCCCACATGGCATGGCAGACCTCTCCTGTCGTGCCCGCTGCTCCCCTCAGCAGTGTATTTCCGTTGTCTGCCTGTTCTGCTCTCTGCTCTGTCTCTGGTGAATCCTCTTACCCTCCCACACCTCTGGCCTGTACCCCAGCTCTTCTATAAAAATAAATAAATCTTTAAAAAATATATAGTTTAAAAAAAAAAAAAACAAGGGGCTATTGTATTTGCATGCTAGAATTCCAAGTGCCTTTGATGTTTTTTTTTTAAATATCTTTCTGTATTTTCCAGTTTCTCAATGAGTTTATATTACTTTTATAATTAGGGAGAAAAGCACTATTTATGAAGATAAGAAAATGTTGAACAAAGACATTAAAGAATCACACCACTCCATTGAAATGTGTACACACACCACCCTTGGCTAATTAGGGTTTTAATCTGGCCCTAGTCTGTCTTCCTTCTGTCTTTTCTCTAACTTTTCCCCTGCCAGCGTGTCTCACACCTTAAGTGCTGCCTACTTCTACTATATATAGGCCACCTCCTTCACAGAGAAGCAAATTTGCTCTAAGGTGTAGGTAACTGGGTTACACTTGCTGAGGTGGATGCAAATGGGTATGTTGTAAGAGTAGAAATCTAGAAGAGTTTTATCTTAATTTAACCCAACTGTTGGTCTGGAGCCATCATTTCATTATGAAACTTAAATCAAATTTATATTACTTTTATTTTTTTTAAAGATTTATTTATTTATGCATACAAGAGCTGGGGTACAGGCCAGAGGTGTGGGGAGTGAGAAGATTCACCAGAGACAGAGTGGGGAACAGAACAGGCAGACTGACTGAAACACACTGCTGAGGGGAGCAGTGGGCGAGACAGGAGAGGTCTGCTGCGCCATGTGGGTTTCCTTCTGGCCGGCCGGGGATTGAACTCATGCTGCAGATGCTGCGGATTGCTTCATAGTGCGGTGCTTACGGCCGGGGATTGAACTCATGCTGCAGATGCTGCGGATTGCTTCATAGTGCGGTGCTTAACCCCTTGTGCCACCAGGGAGGCCCCTACTTTTATTTTTTCAAAGATTTATTTTATTTATCTATGCATACAAGAGCTGGGGAGTAGGCCAGTGGTGCAGGGTGTGAGAGGATTCACCAGAGACAGAGTGGGGAACAGAGCAGGTGGATTGACTAAAATACACTGCTGAGGGGAGCAGCGAGAGAGACAGGAGAGGTCTGCTGCCATGTGGGTAGCTCCCTGGCCAGGGAGCTGCAGAGGCTGCGGAAAGCTTCATAGTGCTGAGATTTAACCCCTTGAGCCACCAGGGAGTCCCAGATTTATATTACTTTTAAAGATTAATTTGGGAACATCAACCTAATAACATTTTGACTGAAATGTACACAAAGACCTTTTTTGAAAGGAGAAAAAGAGGACTAGGGCATCTGCAGAGAAATGGAGGGGCTGTTTTGATGATGATGCTTCAGTGACTCCTGCAAATGCATTTTAAACCTGTAATGGGATTGGATGGGTTTTATAAATGATTCTATGGGTTTTACTTCTTGGTAATATTGTAATAAATATATTTTCCTAGTTAATATACTTACAGTTAGGGCCTCGCTGGTGGCGCAAGGGGTTAAGACGCAAGCAACAAAGTTATCTGCAGCCACTGCAGCATGAGTTCAATCCCCGGCCAGGGAGATAACCACATGGCACAGCAGACCACTCCTGACTCACCTGCTGCTCCCCTCAGCAGTGTATTTCAGCCAGTCTGCCTGTTCTGTTCTCCACTCTGTCTCTGGTGAATCCTCTCACCCCACAATACACACACCTCTGGCCTGTACCCCAGTTCTTATATGCATAAATAAATAAATCTTTAAAAAAAATACTTAGAGTGAAAATGAACAAGAGATTCCAGGATAAATATATTGACTAAAGAATGGTGGTTCACTATGTTGATATTTGTAACTATTTTTTATACCTCTATCTGGTGTTATTCTATAATTATTTTATTTGTTAAGTTCAGAGTGTGTCCATATTCAACACTAGACTACAACAGCTCTGACATATTTTTATACTAAAAAATCTGTTCCTTCACTTTCGTGGTATGCCTTTCTAATGTACAATAAGTATAAAGCTAGGATATAAATTGTCACACTTCTGTTTTCCTTCATTCAGGAAGATTCCTGACCAGACATGGGTACAGTGTGATGAATGTCTTAAATGGAGGAAACTTCCTGGCAAGGTTGATCCATCTACATTACCTGCAAGATGGTTTTGTTACTATAATTCCCATCCAAAGTACAGGTACGCTTAGGGTGCAAGACTGTGCCTGAGAAAGCAACTGATTTGTTTCTGTATTCTAAAACACTTCTCACTTATACACACTTCAGCTTTCAGCCTGGCAGTCAAGCCCCTTTTCTAACCTTATTTTTTCATTGTACATTAATTCAAACCCTATGCTTTAGCCAGGCCCTATGACTTGACTGTTCCTCACGCATACCACACTCGTTCCCTCTTACCCATAATTTTGACAGTGTCAGCAAGAGGAATCAGTGACTTTCTACATTCCAGCTCCCTAGACGAGTTACTCCACCTGGGAAGCCTGTGCATTTCGTGTGATACTTTTCCTGTTGACAATATATACAGTGATTGTACTCCGGCTTCCTGTGGTATTTAATTTTTGACATTTGTTCACTTTACTGCTTTGTGTTTTTCAGATGTTTTTCATATGTGTATACTTTGGCTCTTCAAGAGGTTGTAAACTCTTTGAGAACAGGGGCTTTATGTTTCAGGTTGAGTTGATGATTTTTCTTCATTTGCTTCCTATACCTGAATCTATTGTAGTGTGTGTTACACACTCAATGCTTTTGTTTACATGTTTGTCGCCCTAATATACCATGGGTTCCTTGCAGCATCTAACATCTGGCTAGTGCCTGGCATATGCATGAGCATTCATGTCAATTTAACAAATACTTTCTTTGGCTCAGTAACCACATAGGTTCATAATAATACATCAGTCTGCTGATGTAGCAAGTGACTTTTTAAATTTTTTTCTGCAGGATAAATGCTGATAAAAAGATACTAAAGCAAAATATGCTTTTTAGGAAAAAAATTTAAATGAAGGAAATTAAATGAAATCTTGATCTGTAATGGCTGAGCATTATCCATCGGTCTCCACATGTACCGCAGCACCTCTCCATGGAGAGTAACTAGGATTATATGATTACAGTAGAATGTGGGACTGAGTACTTAGAATTTTCAATTTTGAATCCTGTGTCTCCTGTCAGTTTGCATTTAGTCCAAGAAACATAGCCTTCTAGGACACCTTGCCCCTGATAAAATGGGTATAACAGCATTTCCAATTATTAATTTTTGTTTGTTTCTAGAATTGCTCTTGACCATTGAATATATTTTCCAGTACTCCTTTAGGTTTTTAACTACTAAAATTCTCTTCATCACACTTCATTTATATAATCCTCCTTCTTTCTCCTCTTTGCTAGTTTCTATTCTGTCCTTTCTATGACATAAAGCCCTCGTCCCTTATTGGTAGCCTCTGTCATAGCCACTGATCTTCTTCAGGCATCTTTACCTAATTTAGGGACTTTCCTGCTTCTAGACTCCACCTTGAGAATTACTTTCTTAGATGAGAGGCAGAAGAACAAGGTTCTACTCTCAGCAATACTCTCTCTTTATGGAACCTCAAGCAAATCTCTCTTGTGCTGGAACGTCACTTTTATTTATTTTTTATTTTTTTAAATGTCTGGGAGTTTTTTTTTTTTTAAGATTTATTTATTTATTTATACAAGCACTGGGTACAGTCAGAAGCGCGGGAGGGTGAGAGAATTCACCAGAGCCAGAACAGGAAGAAGGACCAAATTACACTGCTGAGAGGAGTAGCAGGCGGCAGGAGAGGTCTGTGCGCCATGTGGGACCCCCCCACCCAGTGGCCGGGGATCGAACCGGCGCTGCAGAGGCTGCGGGCAGCTTCGCAACCCGGCGCTCAACCACTGCGCCACCAGGGAGGCCCTGGAACATCACTTTTAAAAATTAGAGGTTGTTTCATGGTGTTCACCATAATCTGAATTTTGTAACTGTAAAGTATTTTGAATCTGCTGGCAAAAGGGTGATATATGCACCAAAAATAATTACATCATGTATGCCTTGAAATAAGAATTGCTACACATTAAACTACACACAGGTTTTGTTTGTAATGGTGGGTGGAATCTGACCTCTGTCAGAGTTGTTAACCTCTTTGACCTGCTTATCATAGTCGTAAGAAAAGTGAAATGTAAAAGAGAAGGGTATTTTTATTTCCAAAAGATGATTTCTTCTTTATACCGCAGGAGATGCTCTGTTCCAGAGGAACAGGAACTCATTGATGAAGACCTGTACTTGAGCAGAGCTAAGAAACAGTTGAGTATATCTGACCTGGCCTTCTGTAATGTGCAGTAGGGGAGCCTGACCCTTCCTGATAGGACAGGGCAGTTTTGAGGAGACAGAAATATATATATATATATATATATATATATTTTAATGATTTCCCACCTCACCTTCCTGTTTTCTCAATATTGTATTCCTTCTAATCATCTCCTAAATGTCTCAATTAGTGATTGTTGTTAGTTTCTCTCCCTCCCTCCCCAGCTCCTCTCTTTAAAAAAAAAAAAAGATTTATTTATTTATGCATACAAGAACTGGGGTACAGGCCAGAGGCATGGGGTAGAGGTGAGAGGATTCACCAGAGACAGAGCGGGGAACAGAACAGGCAGACTGACTGAAATGCATTGCTGAGGGGAGCAGCAGGCAAGTCAGGAGAGGTCTGCTGCGCCATGTGGGGTTCTCCCTGGCTGGCTGGGGATCGAACTTGTGCTGCAGAGGCTGCGGATAGCTTAACCCCATGTGCCACCAGGGAGGCCCTCAGCTCCTCTCTTTTGATGGAGCATTTGAAATCTCTCTTCAGTAGCAGAGCTCAAGAAGGCACCCTTAGTGACTCAATGGATCTTACACTATTTCTAATCTGGAAGGAATATTTTAACCTAAATCCAAAACTGGTAATCTATTTCAGACTGAGAAATTTCATGAATAAACTAAATAGCACTTTTGTCTTCTCTTAGAGATCAAATTGTGGAGAAGAAGAAGGTGCCAACAGAAAATGAGAGCCACCAGGTAAGAGCCCGTCTGCTCTCTCCTTTTCCTCACACAAAATTTTCCCCAACAGTGGACATAGGTTGAAGGAAGCAGCAATCTTGAAAGCTGCATAGAAATAATGAACCATTTCTTTTGGTATCTCTTTTTTCCCATTGGACCGTTCAATTTTGCTTGGATCTGCTGTTACTGATGTTCAGATCACCAAAAATAGAAGAGTCAAACCATTTTTATTTCCCAGATTTGGATTTAGTACTAATTCTGGTCGGTGCAAATGTCATTTTCAGTCTTATGGAACATTCAGGGTTGTGTTCCATCCTCATACAGGCTGCTCCTGTTGAGTATGTGGCTTTCCTCGGTCTCCTTTTTCCAGGATTCGGAGGTGATTCCTTCCTCCTTCCTCTTGGGAGAAGGGGTGGTTCTTTGTGTCCCTCCCCTGTCCCTGCTTTCAGGCTGGCTGGCTTTATAAAGACTCTGCTGTTTTGAATTTTCAGGAGCACTGTCTCTCGGACATGGTTGCCCAGCTCCGGACGCTGAAGGGTGCAATAAGGTTGGCCGTCCTTTCAGGGACACTCCTTTCCTGACAGCCACCATAGCACCCATATATCTTCCCCACCCAACCCTGCCTTTCTGCATGATTTTCCTTTTGGCCCTCTTTCCCAGAGATATCTGCTAGTCGCATGTTAGATTCACCTTCCACCCACTGAATCAGGGTAGGTCAGACTGGTGAGGATAGAGGCAATTTCATATCAATTCATCTGACATCCTGCCAAGACCCAGGTATATGAATGAACAGGTTTCATGTCCTAATATATTGGCTCAAGAGTCTGAAGTAGATATTGGGAGATTTCCTGGGACTGCCCTGTCCTCATTCAGTTTACCTCCCCCTTTATATTCCTTCACCTTCATCACTCTTCGTAAGCTGGCTCCCCCACGAGATCCCAGACGCATGTCTCTGTGTGTGCACTATGAACATATGTTAGTCTCTCGCATGCATTTCTTCAAAATCAGGACCGACACTTGCTGCAATGCTCATTCCCTCTGCCCCTACCCTCATCACAGATCTCAGAGGAGTGTAAACCCAGCCTTCAACTGGGTCACAAGGGAGAATTAGATGGCGTTTAGGGGGCCTGGGTTAATGTGGGTGGGATGACAGTAGGAGCCAATAAGTGAGTTGGGGAGGTCTGTCGGTGTCCAGCTGATAAGGTTCTAACTAAATGTGCCTGGGTTCAGTGTTCTAGTGTACATTACTGCGCGCTGTTTGTTTTGTGTAGGAAACAGTTTCTTTTTATTTGGCTAAGTATTCTTTCCTAGCATCAGAAGGATTTGACTCATCCTTTGGTATTTAGTTTATAATTGGGATTTTTATGAATCATTTCTTTCTTTGCTAGGTACTTACTGATCCACTGAAGATCCCTACTATTCAAGATATGGATGAACTGAATAACAAGACAATGGGTTATGAGGGAATTGATAGCCCTAGCCCACTTCTTTCAGTTGGAGAAGAAAGCAGGACACTTTCTCTTCAGCTTAAACCTCTGGATACCAGTGTTTTTCAGTTTTCCAGGTGGGTAGAACGCATAGTCTGTCTCCAATAGTAAGCCTCAGGTTTGTTTTCCTATAAAGTAAGCTGGTATGGTTATCATGTTTATGTTTTCCTAAGGCCTAGCAGAGAATTCTGAAGTATAAACAGCATTTTAGGTTGATGGACTTATGTGCTGCATGTACCCCAATTTTTCAACATTGCGATTGTTTTGTCAAGTGTGTTTGTGTGTGTACTATGTGGTCACATTATGTTGGGTATTACAGAAACGATATACATGGACATGAAAACTTTGAAAAACATAATGTGCTATGCAAATGAAAGGCAACTTTATACAAATAAACATTGTTTCTTGCCTTAAGTTGTTAGGAATATTGCAGCTCTCTGGGGCCGCATGGGCCTAGCACATGTTGGCCATGTACAAAAATAGCTGTTGGAAGTTGGTACCATTATGTAAGCCTTTTCTTTCATTGTTTCCTTGAGTAAAATATTACTGTTTCATCTTGAGCTTTATTTGTTCACCTTCTAGCACCTCATCAATATTATTTTATTACCTTTTATGACCAAAAGGAGCAAAACTTGCCTTTTTCTTAAATATCAGGAATATGTGAAGCCAGTGAAAGATAGGACTGCCCCTATCCTGCTGTGACCCTGGAACTCACGACTCCCATTAGCACTTTTTCCTGTCTGCTATGTTTCTTAATTCTGGCAGGACAAACCACAGTGTAGAAACAGAGTTGCTCTCTAATATCAGACACTTCTACAGTCATAAATAATGTGACAGTAGGTTATGAATACAGTAGGTTGGGAATTTGTCATTGACCCATTTAATTTGGATGTCTCTGTAATGTATTGTAGGATAGAAGCAATGTAATACATAATAGGGTAAAGTGACTCCTGGTTTTCCCCCACATTCTTTATTCTTTTTCCTATTTCTTCTTAGGTGGGTCTGGACAAACATCGCTACAGGTGTACAAGTCCCCTATTTGGTGATTCTTCCGTAATTAAGCCCTGTAGATATTGGAAGAATCCCGTGACCCGCTGAACATGAACAAAAAGTCTCAGGCAGAATTAAACCATTATGAGCAAAGCTAATAAAACTCCAAAGAAATTCAATGAGAAACTGTGTGAAAGAATCTAGAACAGTGCCTTGGAAGATAGTAGATATTCAGTAACTAATGTTTGAATCTGTATCATCTTGCAGTAGCAACTTCTAAGATTGAACTATATGGCCAGGGGTTAAAAAATATGGTCCAGTCTTATTCACAGGGGCTTGACCCCAGTTCTGTTTAGTTTCTCAACTCCCATTATAGGTTGGGAGCAAAATACAGTAAGTGCCATGTCTTTTTGAAGCACAGTGTCATACCTCTCTACCTCGATCTCCTTGAGATAGTCGTGTATCAGAATTGCCATGAGTGATATTGCCAAAGTGATGTTGCTCTTGAAGGCTCTTTTCCCTGCTGTCATTTTTCCTTTTTCTTCAGTTTTCCTTTTGTTACTTTGTGGTGGCTTTTGGTAATCTAAAAGAGATTGCAAATACTAAATTATATGTGTGTATTTTATAAGTGCAGAATGGCAGTACATCCATTGGGTGGCATACTTCATCAGTCTTTATGGGCTTTTTGTATGAGTCTTTATAGAACTGTTATATTCACAGTTGGGTTTTGGTGATAGAAGACAAATACTTTGTTCATTTGTAATGGTAATTTGAGAATAATATTCTTTCAAGAGAACGAGATGCATGATAATTGATGCCGTTAATGCTGTCTGTGTTTTGTAAGGTCCATGAATTATGATTTTGTCATTTCAAGCTACATTATGGGGGATTCAGATTGATTGGAGAGGGTGTGCCTTTTTACAAGGGGAAAAGAAGGTGCTCATGTATACAGTTTTCTAGTAAAATGATGTTAATGGAATAATAGGTTTAGCAAGAGTTACAAAGATCTCCTTTGTTATTATCAAAATCTGAAACTGATTAGGATTCTTTGGTCATGTAGTACAGCTCACTAACTGTAGACAAAATAATATGTATACTTAATTTTAAAACAACACTTTGAAAAAGTGCTAGTGGAGTAGGTTATATGACCTAGCAAGGACTCCAGAGGTGTCACTGGAAACAGCTTTGGGAGTCTCACAAATCTAACTAGACGAGGGAAGGACCTAAAATATGGAATAGGTTCAGCTAGTATGGAAACAGGTAGAACCTTTTTTGGGAAGTTTAATTCTGTTAAAGGAAATAATCCCTTTCTGTACATTCTTTCTGCATATATTTGAGTGCTTAGTGTGTGAAAGTCACTTTTCTGGAGCAGTGATGGAATCAAAGATGAAAGAGCTTATGGTTGTCAAAATTTTATATTTAAGTATATCCAGTACATGCTAGGATTCATGAGTGGTTACAAGCTAAGATCTTAAGTAGCCATAAGTACATGGACAAAGGTGAGAATTAGTGACTTTAATTTATTTAGCTATTTAGGGAGCCTTTGATTAAGCTAATTAGTTCATGCTTTAAGGATAACCAAAAAAGTAACCAAAAAGATAACCAAAAAAATCCAAATCATACTTTAATGGTAAAAGGAGCGACATTCTAGTATGTTTAAAGTGATATTTGAAACTACAAACGTGACGTAGAAACAGAAGAAGAGTCTTGCAAATAAATAAAATTGATTCAGGTGCCAAGATTAACACTTTAAAATATGATCTTTGGACAGATTTTCAAAATGGACACATGAGGAGCCTGAGAGACTCTTTCAAATCATTTAACTGGAAGAAATTTTTTAAAAATCATTATCAGTTCTTAGAAATTGTCCTAAGGGGATGTAGCAATTGGGGGAACATTCATTCAAGATAATCTAGTAGAGCTCAGGAAGAACAGCAAGAGTAGATGGCATTTAACCTCTTCCATCCTCCTCCAAGCTGTCTTTTGTGAAAACTAGCCAAGGAGCTCTACTCCAGGAGGGTGTAGAAATGAAGTTGGGGGCCCCCTTGTCACCTAGCTTCCAGTCTAGGGTGTCATCTGAGAGGGGGGCTGACTTTTAACAAAAAAGGTTTCATTCTTGGAGGAAGAGGCCACTTTCCCTGCTCCTACCCCTTGCACCAAGGCATGGAAGTTCTGCTTAGGGAGAAAGGCAGCTTGTGAAGATGAAGAACTCCTTTCACCTAAAGGAACTGACTTTATGTAGAACAGATGTTAGAGAATTCCACTCCTAAGGGCATTGTCAGAAATAATGGTAAATCTTGGAGAACAATTAAGAGGGCACTCAGAGCCCCGTGATAAAAGTTACAATAAGCAAAATGGCTGAAAAATAAGTTTAGTAACAGAGAAAGAGAACCCAAAAACAAGTCGAGAACAGTTTTCCTGGCACTGTTGTGCCAGTTTTCCTGGCACTTCTTACCCTGGGGGTAAGAAGACCGAGCATAAGCACAAGGCTGTACTTCAGGATCAATCAGGTCAGGACTTGAAGGCATCAGAAGCTGCAAACTGCAGAAGAAATACATTTCATGGAGTCAGTTCAGTCAAACCAGTAGATAAACACCCAAGCAAACAATAGCAGCATTATTTACTCAGGGAGGGGGATCAGAGTTGCTGTACTACATTACCTAAAATATATAGTTGTTAACAAAGAACTATGAGACATTCAAAGAAACAGGAAAATATGGTCTGTACACGAGAAAATAAAAAGAAGTAAGAAATAGAAACTGCTCTTGAAGAGATCTAGATACTTATAATGGCTGCTTCAAAGTGGCCATTATAAATATGCTCAAAAAACTGAAGGAGATCCTGTCTCATGTAAGGATATCAATAAAGGGACAGAAATTATTTCTTAAAAAGAAACATGAATATTATGGAGGTGAAAAGTACAATTTTCACTAAAATTAACATGAAATTTTCACTAAAATGAGTCAGCTACATTTTAGAGTTGTTAGAAAAAAGAACTATCAAATTTGTAAATCGTAGCTTATGCTACAAAAAAAAAAAAAACAGAAAAAATTGAAAAAAAAAAAAAGAACAGAACCTCAGAGAAATGTGGGACACCATCAAGTGCACTAACACATGCAGAATAGTATAGAAAGGGGCAAGAGGAAAAGGAGTAAAAAATATTCAAAGACATAATAACTGTAAACCTCCACATTTGGTGAAAAACATTAATCTGTATATCCAGTGAACTCAAAATGGTATAAATGCAAAGAGATTCAGTCAGGCATATCAGTGAAAATACTGAAAGCCAAAGGCAAAGACAAAAATTCAAAGGCAGAAATAGAATTTCTTCACTGTAATACACCTTTGTTTCTATCCACTTCATCATGTACAAAACCTCAAAAAGATCAACAACTGACTTCTCATCAGAAACAATGGAGACCGGAATGCTGTGCCGTGGGATGACATGTTAGAAATACTAGAAAAAAGACAACCAAGAATCTTAAATTGAGTAAACTAGCTTTAGAAAATGAAGGTAAAATAAATAGATTCCAAGATAAACAAAAGCTGATGGATTTTTTTTTTCTAGCAAGCATGCCTTACAAGAAATACTAAGGTAGTTCCTTAGACTGAAAGCAGGTGATACCGGGCAGTAATTTGAATTCACATGAAAAGTCAGTACTGACAATAATAACTGTAATTAATTATAAAATTTAATATAATGTGATGTTTCTTCTTTCTGTTCTTAACTCACTTAAAGACTAATTGCATAAAACAATATATATTTGTATATTATTTCATATGTGTATATGATCTTATTGGTTCATATACAGATGTAAAATGCATAACAATCACACCACAAGAGAGGTGGGTAGGAGCAAAACTACTGGAATAAAGGAGTGACAACAGATGGTAACACAGATCCTCTGTAAGAAATGAGGAAAACTAAAAATGGAAAAATAAGGCTGCTGTAGCAAACTATAAATATTATAAATACGTACTTGCTCTACTTCTCTCAGCTTCCTCAAAGGACATAAGACATACAAAGTAATAATTATAACGATGGACTATAGAATTGTAAATGTTAAACTAGAAAATACCCGTGCAACTTGAAAAGAGGAACGGTAGAGGAACAAACACCACATGGCACATGTAAGAAACAAAAAGCTAAATAGCAGAGGTAAATTCTGCAATGTCAATATTGACATTAAATGTGACTACATAAAGCAACCCAATCAAAAAAGAGATTATCAGAATGGATTTTTTAAAAGTGTCCAAATATACTGGAGTCTAATATACTTTAGATTCAAAGATACAAACACATTGAAAATAAAAGAATTGAAAAAGATGCACCATCAAACTGCAACATCTTAACAAAGCTGGGGTAGTTATACCAATATCAGACTAAAATAGATTTTTTTAAAGATTTATTTATTTATGTGTACAAGAGCTGGGGTACAGGCCAGAGTTACAGGGGGTGAGAGGATTCACCAGAGACCGTGGGGAACAGAACAGGCAGACTGACTGAAATACACTGCTGAGGGGAGCAGCGGGGGAGTCAGGAGAGGTCTGCTGCGCCATGTGGGTTGCTCCCTGGCAGGCCAGGATTGAACTTGTGCTGCAGAGGCTGTGGATTGCTTCACGGTGCGGTGCTTAACCCCTTGCACCACCAGGGAGGCCCAAAATAGATTTTTAAACAAAATTCTTACTGCGTATAAAGAGGGACATTTTATAATGATTAAGTCCCATCAGAAAGATAACAGTTAAACCTATATTGCAACCTAAAAATAGAGCCCCCAAAGTTCATGAAGAAAAAAACTGAAGGGAAAAATAAGACAGCAATAACAGTTGGAGATTTCACACTACCCCAGTTTCAATAATGGGTCAACAAGGAAATAGAAGATCAACAAGGAAATAAGAAAGTTGAAAATTGAGGGCCTCCCCGGTGGCGCAGCGGTTGAGCGCTGGGTTGCGAAGCTGCCCGCGGCATCTGCGGCGTTGGTTCGATCCCCGGCTGCTCCCCGGCCACCGAAGGAGGGTCCCACATGGCGCGCAGACCTCTCCTGCCGCCCGCTGCTCCCCTCAGCAGTGTACTTCGGTCCTTCTGCCTGCTCTGCTCCCCACTCTGGCTCTGGTGAATTCTCTCACCCTCCCGCGCTTCTGACTGTACCCAGTGCACGTATAAACAAAACAAACAAACAAATAAATAAATAAATAAATAAATAAAAAAACATGCCTCTAAAAAAAAAAAGAAAGTTGAAAATTGATATAAACCTACTAGGCCAGGCAAATACATACAGATCACTCCACTCCAAACAACATAATACATAGTCTTCTCAAGAGCACATGGAATGTTCTCCAGAATAGATCATATATTAGACTATAAAATAAGGATTGAAAATATGCAGAATGTGTTCTCCAACCACAGTGGAGTTAAATTAGAATTCAACAACAGAAGGAAATTTGGGAAATTCACCAGTATGTGTAAATTAAATAACATACTCCAAAATAGCAAATGAGCAAAAGAAGAAATCACAAAGGAAATTAGAAAATATCCTGAAAAGAAGAAAATGAAAAAAAAAAAAAAACAAAACTTATGGGATGAAATGAAAGCAGTACTCCCATGACAAAATGTATTTGTAAATGCTTGTCTTTTTTTTTTTTTTTTTTTGGTGGGACCCTCTCTGGTGGCTGGGGAACAAACCGCGCAGCAGAGGCTGCGGGCAGCCTCACAGCCCAGCGCTCAACCGCTGTGCCACCAGGGGAGGCCCTGTAAATGCTTATCTTAAAATTGAAGAAAGATCTCAAATCACCTAACAAACTCCACTTACAAACCACCTTAACTAACTACAAAGACAAGAGCAAGGTAAACTCAAAACTTGCAGAAAAAAAAAAGAATAATAAAATGTTTAAAATGGATATGAGGGCCTCCCTGGTGGCACAGGCAGTTGAGCACCCCACTGTGAAGCTGTCCTGCAGCCTCTGCAATGCGGTTTGATCCTGGCTGGCCAGCGAGAAATTTCTCCACATGGCACAGCAGACCTCTCCTGTCTTGCCCGCTGCTCCCCTCAGCAGTGTATTTCGTCAGTCTGCCTGTTCTGTTCCCCACTCTGTCTCTGGTGAAGCCTCTCACCCTCCCGTACATCAGGCCTGTACCCCGGTTCTTGTATAAATAAATAAATCTTTAAAAAAATAAAATAAAATGGATATCAAATAAAAGGACAGAAAAATTAGAGAAAAATCAGTGAAGCCACACTACTTTTAAAGAACATACAGGGCATTATAAGAAACTGAGATCTGAGATATCTAATTACATATGTTCTTAGAGATTTCAGAGAAAGGTGGGCAGCCTTGAGATACTGTGAGGTGGCCAGTAACATGCCTGACTCACATTGAAAATTTAAAAATTGATTTTTACCTTGAAATTTCTCAGTTTTCTGGAGCAAAGGCAAAATAATTCTAAGGATAAAACGAGGGGTGCTATCCTGCTCATGAATAAAATTGCCTATGAATTTTGCTGGTGCCAGTTGTTTTGTAGTTCCTTCAACCTTTAGTGCAGATCTCAGCCAGAAATGGAAGGTGATTTCAGGTCACCATCCTGGGCTTTCCTGAAGAACTGAGGGAGTGCTTGTTTGCCCCTGACAGAAGGGAGCTCTTTTGTCATAAAGGGGAAGTGACTTGAATTGGCCAGGTCAATTTCTTTGTTTCTGACTAAGGCCTTGTGTTTTAATTAACTTTTATAAGTGAATAATGGGCAATAACCACAATCTAGTTGGCTGGCAAAGGAATTGTGTAATGTTCTGTTATAAAAAAAAAAGTGCATGTTTGATACTTGGAGGGTTTTTGTGACACTTTAAAATTAATGAGCTGGCTTGTTCCCTTCACATACTCCACTAGACTTTTTGTGACCTTTTTTTCCATTCTCGTGTTAGGGGATTTTACGTGTATTTTTTTTTTTTTTGTCTTCCTTTACTTGCATTTTAGAAACTTCTAGTTCAGACTGGTTTTCAATCCTGTTTTCAGAATTCTTACCAAGGTCAACATGGTCCTATTATATCCAAAGGCTGATTCTACATACCTTTTGATTTCATCTCTCCCTTAAGACCAATTGTTACCTTAGCAAATTGCATGAGTGAAGGGGCTGGGGATTAGGATAGAACTGTCTTACTAATTTAAAACAATCTGTGGAGAACAGGTGGGATCAGTTTTAATGTGGGAAAATTGAAGAGAGGCTCCATAAAATAAGAACATTTAGCCTGTATTGTGATTGCTTACAATTTAATTGCCTCTTCTTCTTGCAGTAAGTACAAATGGATCCTAGGTGAGGAACCTGTGGAAAAACGAAGACGACTCCAGAATGAGATGACAACACCTCCTCTAGATTACTCCATGCCTAGCTCTTACAGGAGGGTAGAAGCTTCTGTTGGCAACCCAGATGGGGAGAACAGCCAAGATAAATCTAGCTCTGAGAGAAGCACACCGCCGTACCTCTCCCCAGAATACCCAGAAGCAAACAAGAATGCCAGTCAGAGTAGGGAGGTTTCAGTTCTGTATTCAGGGGCCCAAGACCAACACCAGGAGTCCTTGTTTCCTGAAGAAGTAGAAGATCAGATGCCAAGATTGGTAGCAGAAGAATCTAATAGAGGCAGCACAAACATAAACAAGGAGGAGGTAAACAAGGGACCTTTTGTAGCTGTTGTCGGTGTGGCGAAAGGTGTTCAAGATTCAGGAGCTCCCATTCAGCTGATCCCTTTTAACAGAGAGGAGCTTGCTGAGAGAAGAAAAGCAGTTGAATCCTGGAACCCAGTGTCTTATTCTTCCGTGGCTTCTGCCTCAACCCCTGCTACAGCCATTGGAGAGAAAGAAAGAGGCTATGAGGAGAGTGGAGGTCGTCATACACCGAAGGTGAAGAACCAAAGAGAGCTGGAAGAACTGAAGAGAACCACAGAAAAATTGGAACGTGTTTTGGCAGAAAGAAATTTGTTCCAGCAAAAGGTTAGGGCAATACCCTACCGCTAGTAATAAGAGGTGGTTCTAACAAAGGCCCAGAGAGTTGGCGCTCTGATGACTTCATGCTGAGGCCCTTAAACTAGATGCATATTGAATCATTCCTTGGTATGTCTCAAATAGAGTAACCACTAATGGACTTCCCTCCCATGTTTGGGGAATGAAAAGGTCCACAAGTAGAGGACTACATATAGAGAAATCACAGGGGGAATGTATTTGGGACAATTTCTGGCACTCTCTAACGTGGAATAGTACGTGGGCTCACTGAATTTCTGTTTCTTGGACTGCAGGTAGAAGAGCTGGAGCAGGAGAGGAATCACTGGCATTCTGAATTCAAGAAAGTCCAGCATGAATTAGTGACCTACAGTACTCAAGAGACGGAAGGCTTGTATTGGAGCAAGAAACACATGGGCTATCGCCAAGCTGAATTCCAAATTCTGAAAGCTGAGCTGGAACGAACCAAAGAGGAAAAGCAAGAACTAAAAGAGAAACTGAAGGAGACAGAGATGCACCTGGAAGTGCTGCAGAAGGCTCAGGTCTCCTACCGGACCCCAGAGGGAGATGACCTAGAAAGGTTAATTACTAGGGTTTAGTTATCAGCTTGTGAGTGCTAATGGGAAGCACCCCTTAGGACCCCCAGTTACTGGCCATAGATAAGGGAGGAAGCCTTGATTAATTCACAGGCCACCAAGGATTGAGGAATTGCTTCTTAGAGAGTCATAGCCAGTCTCCCTGCACTTGGTGGTATTGTGCTCTCTTCTTTCTAGTTAATGGAAACATAATTGTTGAGAAATGTAGGCCAATTTTTAAGGAGCTTCATTTTGTTTTGTTGGCTAATGACTTCATGTCATCTCTTCTCCTGCCCCCTCACTCCATCATACAGGGCTTTGGCAAAGCTTACGAGGCTGCGTATCCACGTCAGCTATCTCCTTACTTCTGTCCTCCCTCACTTGGAGCTTCGTGAGATCGGGTTTGACTCAGAACAAGTGGATGGGATCCTGTATACGGTGCTGGAGGCAAATCACATACTGGATTGAGCACCAGACTATATACTTTATATACCCTGCCCTTCCTGTCCCCCCTTCCTTCCCTGCTCTTTCTTCTCTTGTCTTCTCTTGTCTTGTCTTCTCTTGTCTTGTCTCCTCTTGTTGTGCCTTCTCTGCTCTTCTCTTCTCTGCTCTGCTCTGCTCTTCTCCTGCTCATCTCCTCTCTTCTCCCTTCTCTCTCTTCTCTTCTTTCCTCTTCCCTGCTCTGCTCTGCTCTCCTTTCTTCCCTCCTTCCCTCTGTTACTTCTTTCTCTCTCTTTCACCTTTATGCCTTACATAGAGAATCTTTGGGTAAATCCTGGCTCTTAATCAGTCTGCATCTTACTCAGTTTTGGTGTGGAGAAAGAGGTTAGTTAAATAGACTTTCAAGAGTTCAGGAACAGAAAAAGAGTAGTCACCAAAATTAGGTGACCTGGAAGCTTTAATTTTCATGATTTAAATACTTGGCCAATATCATATCCTTTCTGAAATGGTTTGTATTCATTTAGGTTACTCTGTCAGCAGATATTGGGTCCAATGTACCAGGTGTTTTGGGATACATTGAGAAGTATAACTCATGGTTTCAGTCTTAAAGGATCTAACAATCTAGTTGGAAACACGAGATACACACCAAGTTAACAAACTTGTACACGCAAGTGATACAGACATGATAGAGAAGGTCAGGGTCCAGTGGGGGGAGGAAGTTCGAGGAAGGCATCACCTCAGAATTGGGACCTAAACTAAGGTTTGTTTAAGGAATGAGCATCACACTCTGTTAACAGTGGTGGTTCTCTAGGTGGTAGGACTGTGGTTGATATTTTTTCTTCTTCCTATCTTCCTGCCTTTTTCAAATTTTCTATAAGAAACCTGTTATTACATTGGAAAAAATAAATTGTTTTAAAAAAAAGAATGAGCAGGCTTGGATTTAGAGATCAAATGAGAGATTGTGTGAAAATATAAATATATTTCGTTGTATCTAGCATTACCTCCAGAATAGCATGAGCAAAGGCACACAAAAAACTAGAATGTGAAAAAATGTTTCATAGGAGTGATGAGTTACTGTAGAGGGAACGAAGGTAAAAGCGAAACCCATCTACCCACCCCTCCCCACCCATCCCCATGATATTTACATTTGAAGAAGGACTTCTTAGAAAGGGAAATCTGCAGGGCTCAAATTCAAATGAAAAAAAATACATATCACCAAACTCAGGGATTTCAGCTAGTGGGGGAGGGTTTTATAGCAGGGAGACGTGTTTGCTGTCTCTCAGAACGCACCTGTCTGCTCATCAGCCTTGTGCTGAGTGAGAGCTAGATCTCACTGTATCAGAAATAATAAAACTTACAGTCTTGTAAAAGTTAGACATTTTATTCATTCATTGCTTTATTGTATTTATACAGCACATATGCTCTGAAAAGTTCAAGGTACTCTTCAAAAGACACTGAACAATGAACACATAGAAATATACCAACTGAAAAAGAGGAAGTAAAGGAGAAACAATAAAAGGGAGGTGGGCTCAAGCAATCGCAAAAAGATTAGCTAGTCCAGTGGAATATTTTAGCTACTCATTGTTTCTCCTCTGCAGAGTTCCTTCAGAAGCCTCTCCTAAACTGATTTTACCTCCTTTAAAGGGACACCCATCCCAGATATTCCAGTGAGACTAAGGAATAGGGGGAGGCCAGAGCCAGATTTCCCCATTTGAATGAGTGCTTAAACATAACTGCCCCCTTACCCTCACCTCACTGCAGCTCCAGCCTGCTGCATGATTAGTGCTCGTGTCATATATTGGGGCCATGATACTGAAGACTCTGTGTGCGTCAACATAAATATTGCTAAGGGGAGGGGGCGCACACTTAGCTGGTCTCTCAGTGATTGTTCTTCAGGTGAGGGCTGTGAGGATGAGACTTTGCACAGATAAGGGTAATATGGATTAGAGGATGGTGGAGGAGAAAATTCAGAGCATTGAAGGTTCAGTCCATATGTGAGAGAGAGAGACAGAGTGAGTGTGTGTGTGTGTGTGTGTGTGTGTGTGTGTTAGGTGAGGGAGGTGCAAAGTAGGAAGGAGCTCCTGCAACTGGACTTTTAAAAGAAAAAGAAAACGTTACTAGAGCTGTAGGGCTCCCTCTTAACCCATTTCCTAGTCTGGGGCCCTAACCCAGCTCCCTGTGTGAGTCCATTCATTCACTACAATTATCAGAGCTACCTCTTTGTTACTGTTCATGATGATACCATCCCAAAGTCCCTTTAACCAGTGTTAAATTCCATGGTGCCTATCCAGAGCTTACGATACAATGTGGAGGCAAAAGACATTCAAAAGAAAAGATTGGGTGCCTCCTCTGCTGTCCTGATAATTCTGCTTTCAAACATCTGTCACACTGGACCTTTAAGTTTGCACCTCCACAATCTACATTTAGGCCCTTCTTACCTCATGCCTTGCCAATTTTTTAGAAAAGATTTATACAAGAACTGGGGTACAGGTCAGAGCCATGGGAGGGTAAGAGGATTCTCCAGAGAAAGAGCGGGGAGCAGAACAGGCAGACGGACTGAAGACACTGCTAAGGGGAGCAGCGGGTGAGCGGAGTGGTCTGCTGTGCCATGTGGGTATCTCCGCCGCCCGCCTGGAATCGAACCCACGCTGCAGAGGCTGTGGACAGCTTCACAGCACTGCGCTCAACCCACTGCGCCACCAGGGTGGCCCACGCCTTGCTAATTGAAATAGGTTCTTTTTTTTTTAATTTATTTAATTTTTTACATCATTGTTCATTTTTTTTAAAGATTTATTTATTTATACAAGAACCGGGGTACAGGCCAGATGCACAGGAGGGTAAGAGGATTCACCAGAGACAGAGCAGGGAACAGAACACACAGCCTGACGAAATACACTGCTGAGGGGAGCAGCGGGCGAGCCAGGAGAGGTCTGCTTCTCCATGTGGGTTTCTTGCTGGCCGGCCGGGATCGAACCCGCGCTGCAGAGGCTGAGGAGAGCTTCACCGTGTGGCACTCAACCGCCTGCGCCACTAGGGAGGCCCCATTGTTCATTTTAAAACAATATTTGCTTTGAAATAGGTTCTTAACCCACCTCCCTGGCCTCCGTACTCCTTCGATCCACCCTACTCACTGTCACTAAATTGCTTTTAATGACCTGGTCAGGTTATGCCTCAGAGACTTGCTAGTGCTCCAAGTTGCCCACCAAGTGCAATACAGATTCCCATTTGGCTTTAACCTTGTTCGCTGAACCCATCTTTCAACATTCCAAACACAAACAGCATTCCATGCAAACTGAACTATTTTTCAGTCTCTGAATCTGCCTTGTGAATTGCTCCTCTACCTTGACTTTTCTTGTCCCTCATCACCTTTCCTTTGACTCAAAATCAATATTTTTACTGAAAATTCCTCTGATGACTCCAGCCACACATGGCATTTCCTCTCAACATTTAAGTTTCACGTCACTTCTAAGGCTCTTTGAAACTGCCTTGTTCTGGCTTCCCTGTTAGAAAGCTCTACATTCAAATACTTCGGCTGTGTGCTTGACCTGTACACTCAGAGGTCCCACAGGCATTTCCAGCAGAACGTGTTAAAAAATGAAGTGACACGTACACCCCAGGACTGTTCTTTCCCCAGTTTTCCTCATTTTAGAAAATGGCACCTTTACCCGCCTCCCGTTGCTTAAGCTAGAAACTTGAAGCCATTTTTCACTTTCCTCCTCTCTAGTCCCCCACATCCAGTCCCTCAGAAAGTCTGTCAGCTCTGTCTCCAAAGTATCTTCACTCACTTTACCACAGCTGCCTTAGTCCAAACTACCATCATGTCCCATAGCGAATTGCATCTCCTAAGTGGTGTCTGTTCTTCGGTGTTTCCACTTTTTCCCCAACTATCACTACAGCAAGAGTAATTTCTTTTAAACATAAATCAGATCATGTGACCTCTGCATAATGCCCTCGGACGGCCTCTCCTGGCACTGAGAATAAAACCCGTGCTCCTACATTGGCCTAGGAGACCCCCACCTTCTTCTGCTTTGTCTCTTGCATATTTCCTCATCAGGGATCACTCCCCTTGCTCTCTGTGATCGCCTCACTGAACTATGTCAAGCACTCACCTCAGAGTCTTTGCCCACACTACTTCCTCTTGTGGAACATTCGTATCCTGCAGTCTTGGTATGGCTGGCGATTGCTCATCCTTCAGATCTTAGCGTGAGCGTCAACTCTCACACTCCCCAGACAGCTTTTTTTCTTTGCCCTATTCTGTCGCTTTCCTGTTCTGTTTAATTCACAGCACCTCTCACAACTTGCAATCATGTACTTACCTGCTGGCTTTCACGAATTCAACAAATATTTGTTGGGTACCTACTACGTGCTATATGCGCTGTAGTGATAAACACGACGCACATGGGCCCTATCTTCCACCTTCACTAATCAATTTCATGAGGGGAAGGACAATTCCCGTTTTTGCCAACTGCCATATCCCAGAGCTTATCACTGTACCTGGTGTACAGTAGTTAATCAATAAATAATCGTTAGTGAATGAGTTTATGACGGAAGTTGTGTTTTGTTCATATCTCTGTCTCTCTAAAAGGGTCTGAAATGCCTCATTCAGAGAAAGGGGGAGTATACATGCAGTCCGAGTGAAGTAGATAACAATCCTGCGCATTAAACACTGCAAATGAAAGAAGGAGATAATATGCGCTGCCATTACTGGGCAGTCAGTGCAAGCTGGAGAGACCAGAGTTTCTCTTGAACTGATCTTTGATTTGGATACTTAGAAAGGCTCCAAAGCCGAGAGGGAATAGGGGTGTTCACCACAGGCATTCTGAGTATTATCCAGAGGAGGCTCCCTACCGTACAATAGGGGAATACTATACTGAGAATGACAGAATTAGAATCAGGAGATGCCTCTAGAGACCAGACCTTGAGAGTGAGAACTAACAGGAGCAGAAACAAGTCTGAGGAGTTTTCTGTTCACTTTTTCCCAAGAGCTACACTAGTTTTTTTTTAAAGAGAAGCAAAGGACAGACAGAGCAGGCCTCAAGGAAATTGTCCTTCAGGGCAAGTGAGGAAGTCAGTGCATGATGGCGAAATGAATGAACGGGCACTGGAAGAGGAGTTCGTCAGGGGCCTCAGCGTTGTCTGGTGATGGCAAATAACCTGGTGTAACAATTTAGGGGCAGACACTTAACTGGCAAGCTCTCAGCTCTTGGGAGCAATCTCAGAATCAAAGCCTTTTTCCATAGTGCTATATTACGAGTGAAGCATGGAGGTCGGCTTCGGAAGCCTAGGGGTGAACTCAAGCTAAGTCAAGTATGGGTTAGAAAGGTGGAGGTGTGGGGGAACAGTTTTCAAGTTGTAGGGAATAGTACAGTCACAAGGCTGGGTTGAGGGGTACAAATAGCTGTATCCTTAGAAGGTTTGAGGAATAGTGAATTACTCAGAGTATAAAGGACAGAATGAACCAAGGCCTTGGGAATTCCAGTATGAGGGGACTGCTTGACAGTGGCGCCTTTGGGGGCTAGGATTAGGAAAACAGCAGGGATCACCCCCATATTACAAATGAGGAAACAAGGATAAGGAATCAAATGGACTGTCCTGAGACCACACAGCTAGAGAGCACAGAGGCAAAACCAAGCCCAAGTTTGTCTGAATCCAGCGCCTAGGTGTCTTCCCGCTGAACAAGGGTGATTCTCTTGGAGATGATTAACCTGGTCTTCATTCTTTTCATAAGAAAATGCTAAAGTCAACCCACACCAACAGGAATTCACAGGAAGAAAGATCCACAATCCCACACAATGTTTAACAGAATGTTTAACTCATGCTCAGGAAATCGTTCACTTATGTAACGCGTATGTCTCCAACCAACGTGGAGATTCATTTCCTCTTGACTGGGTTTTCGCTGGGGGCTGTCTCTTGGCAGCTTTCCTGATATCAAAACAGCCACCGAGATCCTATTCTTACACCCCAGGAGGCCTTGGACCTGTTGGCCTTTGCTGGTGAGCATTCTCACAGCCTCCTCAGCACCCCCACCCTCCCCAGATAGTGCTGACTTGAACAAGTCTTTTGGGGGTTGAGAAAGTGACACTTGAGAACATATTGGTTTATTATTACACACAGAGGAGTAAAATTAACCACATGAGGTGCCTCCGAAATCGCCAAGGGAAAACGCAGCCACCTTTCTCACGCTGTTGTGGTTTTCTTGATTTTTGCTTCGTCTCCACTTTTGAAACTGTTGAATCATTTCTTTGAAGGGTACATGTGTTACTCAGAGTCCCTTGCTCCGCTTGCCCAAATCCCACTCTCCCTTGTCTCCGACGTGGTGTTTTATTTTTAAACTCACTGGACGTCTCACCCTGCCTCCTTTCAGG